GATCTATTCTACTATACTTCCATTTCGTCACTGTGCTGACGTTTGGTCTGCTCTTCACAAGAAATTCACTTCTCTTTCCAGATCACATATTCATCAGCTGAAGAATAAATTGAATTCTGTTTTGAAACACTCTGAATCAATGGAGGAATATCTTTCCAAAATCAAAGATATCGTTAGTCAATTGGCTCTTGCATCAGTAGCTATCGATGATGAAGATCTTGTCCTATTAACCTTGAATGGTCTTCCTGATGAATTTGATGCTTTCAAAACATCCATTCGAGCTCGATCTGGTTGTATTTCAATGGAAGAGTTGTCTTCTTTGTTGTGTTCTGAAGCACTTCACATGGAAGCCAAAACTAAAAAGGTTGAACCAACCGTTGCCTTCTCTACTGTCAAAGGCTTTGCTTCTCCTCCTTCTTCTCCATTTTCCTCTCGTGGTCATGCCTCTCGCGGTAGATTCTCTTACAGAGGAGGAAGAGGAGGCCGATATTCCAGAGGAGCCAATAGTAATGGCAGATTTTCTGCCCATTACACTCGAGGAAGAGGCAGATTTGCACCAAATTCTCCTCACAATTCTTCCACTTGTCAAATTTGTGGCTGTTTTGGTCATCTAGCTCTTGATTGTTGGCACAGAATGGACTCTCAGTATCAATCTCCATATCAGTCTCTTAATGTCAATACTAATAGTGCTTCATCATCATCTGCTCTTAGGGCCTTTGTTGCTTCTACAACTGCCGATGTCTCATCATCTTCATCTGTCCCGTGGTACCTAGACTCTGCTGCTACTGATCACATCACCAATGATCTCAATAATCTGTCCTATTATCAACCATATCAAGGTACTGATCAGGTCACTATTGGAGATGGCACTTCTGTCCCTATCCATCACACTGGTAACGGACTTTTACCTACTCCACATCACTCATTTCGACTTAAAAATATTCTTCATTCATCATCTATTTCTTCCAATCTTGTTTCTGTTCAAAAGTTAGCTCACGATAATCATTGCATCATAACATTTGATGAGTCTAACTTTGTGATTCAGGACAAACTTACAAAGAAAGTTCTTCACAAAGGATGTAACATCAATGGACTTTATCATTTTCTGCCACCTATTCCTTCATCTGCTGTTTCACCAGTTTGTTCACAGGCTTTTGTTACTAGTACTAATAAAATTCCTGATAAGTCTACTTCTGTGACCCCTACTATTTGGCATAATAGACTAGGCCACCCTTCCTCTGTAAAATCTCAGCATCTTCAACATCATTTGCAGCTTAAATCTGTACCTCTTGCTACTCAAGATTGTGTAGATTGTTGTGTTGCTAAGAGTCATCGTCTTCCTTTTCATTTGTCAAATTCAAGTGTAAATAAGCCTCTTTCTCTTATTCATAGTGATGTTTGGGGCCCTTTTCATTCTTCTTCTACTTACAAATACTATGTGATTTTTGTGGATGATTTTAGTAAATTTACTTGGTTGTATCCACTAGTCTACAAAAGTGAGGTCTATGATAAATTTTTGGAATTCAAAACTTATGCTGAGAAACAATTTGATACTGTTTTAAAAATATTTCGTACGGATGGTGGCACTGAATTTTGTAATAATAAAATGTAGAACTTCATTGTTGCTAATGGCATTATTCACCAACATTCTTGCCCATACACTCCACCACAAAATGGCACAGCTGAAAGAAAACATAGGCATATCACAGAGACAGCAGTTGCATTGATTCATCATTCTTCTATGCCTCTTAAATTCTGGTTTGACGCAGTTGCTGCTGCTACGTATTTGATTAATAGACTTCCTTCTACTCAGCTGAAGCATCAATCTCCTTTTGATGTTTTATTTCATCATCCTCCAGATTATTCGTTTCTCAGAGTTTTTGGTTGTCTTTGCTATCCTTGGCTTCAGCCTTATTTCTCCACTAAACTTCATCCTAAGTCTCTACCTTGTGTTTTTCTTGGTTATCATCCCTTTGCTAAAGGGTACAGGTGTCTTGATCCCACTTCTGGCCGGATTTATCTTTCTAGACATGTTCTTTTCAATGAATCTGTCTTTCCTTTTCAGCAACTGTCTTCTACCTCTTCTTCTCTTCCTTTGCCTCAAATTCAATCTTTCTTTTGGTCTACTATCCCTATTCCATCACCAACCGTTTCACCAGCATCTCTCTCTCCTTCTACAGCCTTTTCATCAATTCCATCAGCTCCGGTTCCATCTCAGTTTGTTTCTCCAGCAGCACCATCAGCTGCGGTTCCATCAGCATCTCAGTCTGTTTCTCCAGCAGCAACCACACCTCTGTCTGTTCAGTCTCTTGTTCAGCCCCATTGTGGTTCTATGCCTTCCATTCCTATTGATTCCCTCTCAGTCCACTTACCATTACTTCCTCCTGCAACTACAAATGTTCATCCTATGATTACACGATCTAAACTCTCTTCTCAATGTTTCCTTCATACCAAGCCTCATGTTCTCTACTCAGATTCTGAACCTCCATCTCATACAGAAGCTCTTCTTTCTCCCATTTGGCTTAAGGCTATGCAAGCTGAATTTGATGCTTTGCACCAGCAACATACTTGGTCTCTCGTTTGTCTTCCCCCAGGCAAAACTGCTATTGGTTGTAAGTGGGTTTTCAAGGTTAAACGGAATTCGGATGGTACCATTGCTAGACACAAAGCTAGACTTGTGGCCAAAGGGTACCTGCAGCAAGCTGGTGTGGATTTTCAAGAGACCTTTAGTCCTGTAGCTAAGCTTCCAACCATCAGAATTTTGCTCTGTCTAGCTCTTCATCATCAGTGGCCCTTGAAACAATTGGATATATCCAATGCCTTCCTTCATGGAGTTCTTGAAGAGGAAGTATTTATGCTTCAACCTCCAGGGTTTGTTCATCCAGATTACCCTCATCATGTTTGTCATCTCAAGAAAGCTTTATATGGCTTAAAACAGGCACCCCGAGCGTGGTATTCTACCTTTTCCAATTATCTTTTATCTCAAGGATTTCATAATAGCAAGTGTGATTCTTCTTTATTCATCCAGCAAACTAGCACTACTTTCACTGCTCTTTTGGTTTATGTGGACGACATTTTGGTCACAGGCAATAATGGTTCTCACATTCAAACACTCATTGCTCATATGCACACTGCATTCTCTATGAAAGAACTTGGTGACTTATCCTATTTTTTGGGTATTTCCATTACACCCACTTCCACTGGCTATGTTTTGTCCCAACAGAAATATGCTGAGGACATTCTTCGTAAGGCCGGCTTAGCTGATTGTAAACCCTGTCCATCTCCTATCTCAGTTAAATCTTCCTCTACTCCTGATGCATCAGCTCCTTTTTCTGATCCTGCTCTCTATCGTAGCCTTGTCGGTGCTCTCCAATACCTCACCATAACTCGTCCAGATATTTCTTTGGCAGTTAATCACTCTTGCCAGCATATGCATGCTCCCACCATTGGACATTTTGCTGCAGTTAAACGACTGCTGCGTTTTGTTAAAGGTACTATTGGACATGGTCTGACCTACTCTCCCAGCTCTTTTGATGTTCAGGCCTACTCTGATTCTAACTGGGCTGGAGATGTTTCAGACCGAAAATCTACCTCAGGTTATTGTATCTTTTTGGGTTCTAACTTGGTGTCTTGGTCTGCCAAAAAGCAAGCCACAGTCTCTCGCTCTTCCACTGAAGCCGAGTACCGTTCTCTCGCCCATACTGCTGCAGAGTTGGCTTGGATTAGCATGCTTCTCACTGAATTGTCTATTGCTTCTACTGTGCCTCCTACTCTTTGGTGTGACAATATTTCTGCTATGGCTTTGGCATCCAATCCAGTATTTCATTCCCGGTCTAAACACATCGAAGTGGACTGCCATTATGTTCGAGAACAAGTTTTCGCTAAAAAGTTAGTTCTTCAGTATATTCCAACTAATGACCAATTGGCTGACATCTTCACTAAACCACTTTCTGTCTCCAGATTTTTGTATCTCAAAGACAAGCTTATGGAGGTCACTCACCCCATTCGCTTGACGGGGAATGTTGAGGACATTGCATCAAAGCCATCAGCAGCCATCAAAGCCCAAGCATAGCAGCTCAGCCTCTGTTCTGTTTCAGCAAACAGATAACAGTTAGACAGTTGGATAGTTTGTTAGATGGTTAGTCAGTTACAAGATTTGGCACATGTGTTTTAGATACATATCACTTGTATAGATATAGTTGTAGCACTATATATATGAAGATGGTCTGTACATTGAAAATATTGAATAACAAATTCATCTTTTCTTCAGAACCAACCACTGAACTGTTTGAACCAACCAACGTGAACTGTGTTGAACCAACCACTGAACTGTTTGAACCAACCAACGTGAACTGACCGATGTGAACTGGTAGGGGGCGACCGGTTGGTTGACCGGCCGGTCAACCGCCCGGTCGACCGGTAATCTTTATTTATTTATTTATTTATTTTTTGATTTCCCTCCGTTTCTGTTCCTAATTATTTTGCTATTTGTTTTTCCCTCCATTGGTTTACCAAAATCTCATATAAACACATTATTATTTATATGCCAGACAACTACACAAGGATCATATCTTAAACAAAAATAGAGGGTAATGGATACTTTGAAATCCATAATATTTACTTCATTTTCATCCTCTTCTTCTTCCTCCTCCTCTGATGAGGAGTCTGATGATGAATATATGATCACACTTTTAGCAGCTTATGAGCAGAATACCAGTAGTATGCTTCAGATTCTTAAGTCAAATGATAGCTCAAAGAAAATAGGGGGTTCTATTGTAGGTCACAAGTATATACGCAGAGATAGAAGTCAAGGTCATGACAGATTGTTTGCAGATTATTTTGCTGCAAATCCAGTGTATTCACCTACAATATTTCGGAGACGTTTTTGAATGCGTCATCCTTTGTATTTGCGAATTTTGAATGCAATCGAAGCACACAATTCATATTTTATTCAAAAACAAGATGCAGCTCATGTAGTTGGATTATCTGCCCTACAAAAAATGACTTCAGCGATGAGAATATTATCATACGGTGTTGCAGCAGATGCAGTTGATGATTACATACGTATTGGGGAAAGCACTGTGATTCAAAGTTTGCAACAATTTTGTTATTCAGTGATTGAAATCTTTGGAGTAGAATATCTGAGATCTTCGACACCAACTGACATTGCTAGGTTGCTTGCTATTGGCGAGATTTGGGGGTTTCCGGGTATGTTGGGAAGTTTAGATTGTATGCATTGGGAGTGGAAAAATTGTCCAAAAGCATGGCAAGGTCAATACGTAGGCCATCAAAAAAAGCCAACCATTATTCTTGAAGCAGTAGCTTCTTATGACTTATGGATTTGGCATGCATTTTTTGGAATGCCTGGGTCACACAATGACTTGAATGTATTAGACCGGTCACCTTTGTTTTCTGATCTTGCCCAAGGTAAGGCTCCCTCTGTCCACTATACTGTTAATGGACATAGTTACGATATGGGTTATTACCTTGCTGATGGTATATACCCGCAATGGGCAACACTGGTTCAAACAATTTCTTCTCCCCAAGGAGCAAAGAGACAACATTTTGCAATGATGCAAGAGTCTGCTAGGAAAGATGTCGAGCGGGCATTCGGAGTCCTCCAATCTCGATTCGCAATTATAGGTGGTGCTGTACGTTTTTGGGATCCAAAAATGCTTGCCAACATAATGAAGACTTGCATTATATTACACAATATGATTGTTGAAGATGAGAGGGAGGAGCACCTTGATTTTGATTATGAAATTTCATCTACCAACACACCAGTGCAACTTTCCTCTACTCCTACCAATGACTTTGAATCATTTTTGTCTCGTCATTTAGGTATTAGGGATAAAAATGCATATCATGCCCTCCGTAATGATTTAATAGAACATATGTGGCATCTTCGCGGTGAAAACTAGATTCACCACAGATATATTTTGTAATTTTGTTTAGTAAAGAAATAGAAGGTTGTCTTGTTTGTAATCTTCATTATGATGTACTATATTAACCAAGTAACGCAGAAGTTATGTGATTAGATGTGCTATTGTGGTGATCCAATCTTCAATATTCATAATTGTTCTCTGTTCAATTTATAACAATCATCAAAATAATTTATTTCAGTATGACAATTCTGTTTTGGAGTTCTATAATTCTGTTTTGGAGTTGCAAGTTTGGTTCACTATTGATTCCCCAATAAGTGTAGGAACACAAATATGAAATATAAAATATGACATATATGTTTTACATGAAATGAGTATTATATGTGGATCTCATATCATGTACATCACATTTCATATGAGACATATCTGTCTCGTGTTTTGTATTTATATTCCTACCATTACTCATTGATTCCCTTCCATCCTTAAACAGTGAATCACACATTTCCTAAGAATCTTCAATCTTTTATCAAATTAAAATTTGATGACAAATTTGGTAAAAATCAGCTCCAATCTACATCAAACTTTTACATTTCTTTCATAAAATCAAGGCAAAAAAAAGCTTTTTACCAAATTTGTGATTCTCAAACTTTTGGGAATAGGTTTGGAATTTTTAAAAAGATTTGATGATTACGGGTTTGGCATTTTTAAGAAGTGAGGATTGAAGCATTCAATTTTTTCATCAAATGAAGCATTCAATTAAGTAAGGGTCTGGCTCGTGGGATTCATCATGCATGCCATTGTTGTGCATTTGAATAATTGTTTTTGTAAGGATTTATCTTCAATATTTATAATTGGACTGATTGCATGCATTTCAGTATGTATATTCAATGTATTTGTATGTATATTTATTTTAAATTCAATGCATTTTCATTATTCAATGCATACATTATGTGTGCATTATTCAATGTGTTTATGCCATACATTATTTGTGCATTATTTGTGGCATCAATTATTTGTGCCATTCCATAGATTATTTCTGCATTATTTGTGGCATCAATTATTTGTGCCATTCCGTAAATGACTTTGATGTTGATGTATTCAACCTACTTTTCTGCCACATTCAACATTTACCCTACAGACATTGAACTATATGTGGCAAATCATTTATTGAACCACCTACCATTCAGAAGATATCAATTCAACCACCTACCATCCTCTATATCAGCTGAACATTGCCATCACCACATTCACATTTCACATGTTTTCACTGAAGCCCTCTAACCACACACTCTACATTTTCAAGTGTGAATCCACATCATCATCACGAAAATAGCATCAGTAGGAACAGAGAAACAAAGCAGATCATCAAAACAAGGCAGATCATCAAAACAGAACAAAAAGGCAGCATTATTGGAGCAAGGTGATTCACGGGGCAACCGGTTGGGCAACCGGTTGGTCAACCGGCCCTTAGTTTAATTTTTTTTAAATGACATTAGTTTATTAAAACCTCAACTACAGATCAACATTTTGATTTTCATGTCTTCAAAATTAATGTAGTTCATTTCAACCTCAACCACAGAACAAGAGTTGAGTTTAATTTTTTTTAAATGACATTAGTTTATTAAAACCTCAACTACAGATCAACATTTTGATTTTCATGTCTTCAAGATTAATGTTGTTCATTTCAACCTCAACCACAGAACAAGAGTTGAGTTTAATGTTTTTTAAATGACATTAGTTTATTAAAACCTCAACTACAGATCAACATTTTGATTTTCATGTCTTCAAGATTAATGTTGTTCATTTCAACCTCAACCACAGAACAAGAGTTGAGTTTAATTTTTTTTAAATGACATTAGTTTATTAAAACCTCAACTACAGATCAAGATTTTGATTTTTTCTTCATGTTACTTTAATGTTTTTAAAATGAATATAGTTTATTAAAACCTGCACTACAAAACAAGATTTTGATTTTTACTTGATGTTACTTTGTAGTTCTATAAAATAAATGTAGTTTACTAAAACCTGAACTACAATACTGAATTTTCAGTGCTCATGTTTTTAAAACATGAGCTACATTCATTTGATATGTACTGAATAGAGAGTTTGCATGCTTTATACTACATTATTATGTTCTTAAATTTTCAGTGGCCATGCTTTATTAAAAATAAATGTCTACATTTTAATTCTAAGTTCATGTTTTCAGTAAGCATTTTAAAAGACAGTGTTTATGTTAATTACTTCATTATAGCACATTTTTATTAAAATTCAACAGATATTTACATCATGCCTAGAACTAAAAGTGTGAGAACAGAAGCTGGTGAAAGTTCTAACCCTCAACGACGCGAACAACAGCAGCCTCAAAATCAGTCATATCCTACAGATGAATTTCTCAGTGAAAGTCATGAACTAGCCTTTCAAAATTTCTCAAGCCGACCTATTGTAACAGGGAGGAGGGTCAATCTGCTACCTCAATATGATGCACTACTAGTTAGTAAACTTGAATCAATGGGATGGCTAAATTTAATTAATTTACCCCAAAAGGTATATCCACGGCTAGTATTCCTTTTTTATGTTCACCTAAGAGTTACTCATGAAGAAGATGGAAATTTTACTCTTTTGTCATATATGAAAGGAAAGGGTGTACAGTTTGATGTTCCTACTTTGGCACGCATTATTGGAGTTGAGGTAGGTGAAGAAAATACCTATTTTCAGACTGAGGCTGAGTTAGTTAATATTGTCGGTAATGGTTCTGATGTATATACTACTATATGTCAGAACAGATTTACTAAAACTAGTCTACAAGCAAGACATTTAAAATCTTATCTTCGGATCCTCCACCAGTGGATTGTAGAAAATGTCACTCCGAAAAAAGGACATCATGATGCGGTCCCATATTTTAATGCCTATTTGTTATACTGTTTTGAGGTTGGGCAAAAGTTAGATGTGTCTTACATAATTATGAAAGAAATGGTGCTGGCAAATCAAGAAATGGGCCGGTCATTACTGTTTGGGGCGCTCTTGACAAAAATTTTCAAATATTTTAAGGTCCATCTTACAAATGAAATGGAGATCAAAATCCGTTCACCCATTACGCAATATACTGTCAATCGTGCTGGTGCAGCCGCCAATTTAATGGGAAATGATAATGCTGCAGAAGATTCAGAGGATGAAGTCCTACCAGATGATGGTCGACAAGATCCTCCTGTCAATGTGATGCCATCAACTGAACCACCTCAATATTGGACTGATTTTTTGGCCATAGAAGAATAACGTTATAATCAACGCGTTGAATGAGAACATCAAATGGCTAATCAGGTCAATTCGTTGGGTACTCAGTTTGAGACATTTGCCACTGCACAGAACTCATTAATTGAACAATTTGGTGAGTTTCGTTTGGACATTGGAAGACGTCATGACATGGCAAACAATCGCATTGATAGAATTGAGCATCGTGTAAATGACATATACCATCACTACTTCCCTCCTCCACCAGAACCAGATAATGACTGCTGATCGGTGTGCCATTATATGTTTCCATTGTTTTGTCTTGTATTATTTTCACAACCTTTTGTTAGGTAAATTTCTTTTATGAATGTACTGATTTTGTAATATTATGTGATATAAAATGATCTTGCTTCGGTATTACTTTAGCACCATCTTTTCGACCTTCACTCATACCATAATCTGTAATATGTTATTAATGTTTCTGATTACTTAAATTTGTATGAAAGTTTTTGAAAGGTGTAATGGTAACCAAAGAAAAGAATAAAGGATGTATTTATATGTAAGTAGTTATCTGTAATACTGTATGTACATGTATAACATATTCTTATTTGAGAAATCAGACAGAGGAGATTCATTGAGATGAAGATAAGACGCAGATTGAATGAAGGGTGAAATTATAAAACCTTGGAATTATAATCATCTATAACAATATGAAGATGTAGCCCATTGGACTTGATTGTGTAACAGAAGAACAACACCCATTTAGATAGTTGTAGGAAATTGTAGAAGAAAAAAAATATATATGAGCCCCTTATCTGACATATCCATGAAGAATAATTGCATTCATGATAAGTACTTAGCAATTGGTGTGTTTTGTTTTTACCAATCAATATGGTATCCAAAGAAGCAGTAGAGAATAGAACACAACCATCTCAAGAAACAAAAACTGAGAACAAATTAATTAATTTCTAATTTTACATAAATAGAAAACGCAAGTGAGACATTTCATATAATTGTACACAGTTTTTCCGTTTCCTTTTCCAATAGATGACACCAATAGATGAAACCAGTAAATACAGAACCTTTCAAGGTAATCTATTAGTTGTTCGAAATAAAATTTGTCGTTGAAGATCTTCGTAGTACGCCCTTTGCATTGGATTTAAATTTGTCATGTCCATTGACATTATTTTATGATCTTCATTTCGTTGTTCTCTTTCATGCATCATAGATAGGAGTTTTAGTTGTTCCTCCCTATCTTCGGCCCTTCTTCGACGGTCTGTAGCTTTCTGGTTACGGTCGATCGCCTTTTGTTCATCTCGCTCAATAGTTCTAGCAGAAATAGTTGATAACACTTCAACCATTTTGGATTGGTTGGCAGCCATTTCATCAAATCTACTATCGTGGGTTGTTTGATTCTTCAACTTCTGTTTTGCTGCTTTAGTACCAATTGGTCGTGTTGATGGATTAGATGGTTCTTCGTGTAGAACATTATTCTGGTTGGATTGAAATGCATCAGATTCTCCAGTTGGTGGATTAGAACATGGATAAACATGTTGCGTACTCTTTTTGGATTGTGTTCGAAATTCATCCTACTTACAACTTCGGCGCAAAATATCCCAACATGTATCAAATGTGAAGTGTTTTTTCTGTATTACATGATACATCCACTTTGCTTCAGCGACCTACAAAAAAAAAATTACAACAATTTTAATAACAAATATGCATTTAGAGAAGAAATTTGATATTTAATAACACAAATAAATGTTACCATGTCTGCCTCAGTTGTTCCACTTTGTTGCCTCAGTTGAATT